GGCGCGCGCTCCCTCTGCTGGGCGCTGCCGCCATCCCGGCAGCAGGCCCGGGACCCAGGAACCCTTCCACAGCGCCTGCCCTCTTCCCCCAGACTCAGCGCAAACTCAGCTTCACAGAGAGAAGGATTTCAAGACTCTCGTCTATGCTCTCGAAATACATTTTCTATCAGAAACCGGTACTGAATTCACACCCCAAACAAGTATTTCACTACAGGGAACATAACTTGTATAAGCACACAAAAAACCTATCTGCCTTTGACCAGCACAGTAAGACTGTCATTTTTTGTCTACCTCCCACCCAGTGCCTCGATGAGTTCTGGCCTGCTGGGGGCACAGCAATGGGAAGAAGGAATGGGTAGTCTGGGCAGATGGGATGGATTATCATTGACAAATCTCCTGCAGCAGATTTTATTTGTAGTCAGTCAAAGGATAATCTCTGTCATTCTTTTCCCTCTCATCCCACATCTCCTGAGAGGTAAGAGGAGAAAGGTGCTGCAGCCTGCTTGTGATGGCAGGCTTTAAGTGTCATCTAAATTGATGGCCCACCTTATAATTCTGGCTCTCTGATGGTTTGAATTCTTCACTATCATGGAGAAGAAAAAGAGGTGGTTATATCTCATGTCACTATAAACCATTTTAAGTCAAAAAGTTTGACAGTATGAAGTTCTGTGCCTTCCTTCAAGTGACTTTATATAAGATAAGTTCCATAAACCTACAGAAAGTTCTCCTGTAGTTTGTAAAGCAATAGAGCTTTTAAATTTTTTTCCATTAAAGTCAAAACCAAAAATCTTCAGAGGAAATAATCCGTGCTAATTTACTAACATGCTCTGATTGCCTAAGGACACTGCCCTGCAGGCTAGTGCTCCGTGATCTGGAAAATGAAGCGAGAAACAATGACAAGCACAGAGGTAAGAGTGAGGACTGCCAAAAACAGACACCTTCCAGCACCAGCCAGATGATTCCTCTGTGAAGACAGGCCAGGTAATCACCAGCTTCTTCCTCTCAATGTAACTTACACCTAGCTACATTGCTGGTATATTTGTTTTGATACGTAGCATCAAGAATTACCCCAAGTATTAATGCCTTACTTGCACCTCAGACAGGTGCACGAGTAACTGCTCAGCTAAACAAGAGTACCAATGGCATGTGGCAGTGGTGAGGGACTCCAGGATCCTCCCTCTTTCAAGCACTGATTTAAATCTCTGCTGGATTGAGAGGTATAGTAGAGTTCATAGAACTAATCTCCAGTTTCATTCTCTCTCACTAAATCCTTCCCTTTATCAACTTCCTTGATTCAGTTTGAGAATGGGTAAAGCCTTTACTCCAGCCTCCCTGGACAGAAAAGAAACAAAGCACAGAACAGAACAGATGAAAAGGGTGGAAATTAGAGATCACAGGAACATGGAGAACAAACACAAAGGAAAACCAGGAAGTCTGAGAAGAATGAGCAAGCCCAAGTCCCCAGCCAAGTTTTGAAGTCACTGTTGTTCTATTTTTTTTAATTTATATTTTATATTTGCTGATAAAATAGAACCACTTTCTCCCTGAAGGTGAGGCTTGCCTCTGGAGCAGGATGATAATTACACTCGGACTGAGCAAGGACACTAACAATTCACCTCTACACTCTCTAGCACGGGTACCCCGGATGGCAGTCACTAGATGTTGGGAAAACTGCTGTCGCATCCGAACGTGGAGATGTCACAGGCCAACTACAAACCAGACAATTTACATGGGACCCTCTGCACTCAGGCACCATTTACACTCCTTCTGCTTACTAAATGCTCCCCTTCACTCCTAGGTGTGCTTATCTCTGCACAGGAGCAGTGCTTTACAGACAATCAGTACTTCTCTGGGATCTGCAGAAGATAGCAAAAGTTTGGCATGGCAAGAACTCTAGCTCCAATGTCACAAGGACATCCACACAGAAGCAACAACACCAAACACAAGCAGCAATGCTGAGTTAGAGAGGAGCTGTGTGTAGAGTGTTTCATATGCTGATATGTAAATGTTTGACAGATGGGGATTTAATAATCACAATCTAAGAGATGTTGTTTACTTTATTCTGACAGACTCTCAATTTACCAGGTTTTTACATTTTAACAAAGTCGCCTGACACGTGAATAAAAGACAATTGATACAGATTCCTTCTGCAGTACAAAGCTTTCTATGTTCAGGTTATCAATTTAAAGTAACTCAGCACTAACACTAAATTGGAGTATTTTCCACTAGTGAAAAACCCTGGGAATCATTATATGGTATTTTCAGGGCTTAAGTTAATACCTCAATCTGCACTGCTTCATTTTCAATGTATTCTTTGCGAGCACTGCTATGGATTCGCCTTTTTTATCTTCCCTTCTAACAATGGAATTTATTAGCTTTCAAACCTTATAGAGATAGCATTGATCAATCTCCAGAAGTGGTAACAATACCACTTTAAACACACACATGCACATACACACACACCAAAATCAAGGCTTGAATGTCCTTTATATCTTGCAAGAAATATAGCAACCAATATTCCATGCAGAGGTGCAGCAAATGAAGTCCTGTCAAGCAAATGGCAGGAATGACAGCAGATGTCTGGATTCCTTCATAGCTGGTTGCATAAAGGGAGCACACATATTTCACCAGGGAAAAAAAAAAATCTCTGACAAGACAGTCTTTCAGGACTTTCAGAGTTGGCATTTTTGACTGGTGTGGTTCATCAGTAGGTATTCAGTTGATGAACCTGATTAATCTTGATAAAGCTTCATTTGCATAATGAAAGCAAAGTATTCAACACTCAGTCATGGTTAAACAAGGCTACCACAGGTTAGTCCAAGATATAATGTCCAGATCAAATTCTACAATCCAGTCTATAGACCAGACTCTACTCGGGACCCTGACCCAAACCACTTATTTTCATGTCAAGCTATACAGCATTTTGTTTGATTGCAACCAATATTGGTATTATACAGCTCTGCTTTCTAGCTACATAAGCCATAGACTCATTTTTGGATATGAATAAAGTATTTGATCTTTCAGCCTCCATTTATTCACAAGTTTTACCTGTTTCACAAAAACTGACATAAGCAGCTCATCTTTGTAAAATATTTTGACACTTTAAAGCCTTATATAACAACTAATTCTCTTAAGATAGCCTCAATGACATTAAATATTCACTAGAGAGTAAATACTCCAAAGCAGAGACACTACCTGAATTGTGAGACAGGAGCCTAGTTTGGCAAGTTGTAAAAGAACATGAGTAAGACAGTGTTTAATGAGAAACGGGCAAAAAAAAAAGCTGGGGACATAATATTACACAAAAAGAAACTAAAGAGTAAATAATATCTGAACCTAACCACTTTTCTACCCTAAGCAACAACAGTGCTGCTGCCTTATATGGTTTTCTCTAATAACCAGGCCCCTGGAAAACTATACAAGTGTTTAGTGCAACTTCCTTGAGTGAAGTTACAACCAGCTGGGTGCACTTCGCAGTAAAACTTGCACTGAAGTTTCTCAGATTAAGGCTTACGAGAAGGTTCATTTTTTGTATATAAGCTAAGCATTACTAATGATCCTTTCTAGGAATATAGAAATTTAAGAAACTCACCACTTTTCTTCTTCTCTCTTTAAAGGAAATATTCATTTCCTTGTATTTCTTCATAGCAGTCTCCAATTTATTCTTGAGATCAATGGCACACCTTAGCCGATCATCATTTATTCCCGCTCTGGTAAATAACTGCAAAGCAAGAAATCAACATTCTTATTCTTTTTTTCTAAACATCTGAGCCAAAAATGATTTTCAGTTTTTCTTCCTAATTAATGAATACTGTCACCAATTCCTTTATTTTACAAGTAAAAATTAGTGAAGCCACTTCTTTTCCTATCTAGCATATAAAAGCTAATAGCACCTACTAAAGGCAAGCAAAGACTGAACAGTTGGTACAAACACCTTCCAAGAGTGTCCTTCTATGGGCCAAATGCCATGCAGGAGGCTCCTGAGCAGTAAAATCAACTGGCAGAAAGGACATATTGTTTTTCTGACAATCTGTCATTGTTTTATGACAAAAATATTGTTTATGTCTGACATAAGCCGTGTTTTACTTTAACCCTTTGCAAAGAAGCCCCATTTTACTACATATTATATATATAGTAAAAGAAAAAGTGTGACTGTAGTTAGCACACCTAATGCTAGGAGCCATCAGAGTAGTTCTGTAACTCCTGCAGTCTCCTTTCATCCACCCCTAATGAATTACAAAACTTTTCTATTTGCACCAATGTTCCTTTGGCCTTGATCTCCTTTTTACTCACTCTCCCTCAAGATTTACTGTAGCCCAGTCCTTCCTTGTCTGTCTTTTTATAAGAAAAAATTTTTAAAATTGTCCCTTTCTCCCACCTGAATCCAGGATTGCACAGAAGGCCAGAACTTATATCTGAGAAGTTTGTGAGCATCAATGGCATTGCTTATTATGGCAGTATTATCTTCATTCTCATGCACTTTTATATCTGCTCAAAACAGAGGAAAAAAGAGTTAGTGCATGGTGCTTACAGTATCTTTAATTTCAGGAGCTAAAAGCTAAGCAGAAGTAGACATGAACCTTTCTAAAATATCTCATCACTTCAGGGAAAGTTACAAATATCAGAATGTTTCTCTGTTCAGTATTAACTATTCTACCATTACCCACATGTTGAAAAAAAAATCAGAGGAAAAGATGAAAAGCTTTCAGTCCAATGATGACAAAAAGAGTTGTTAAACCATCACTAGTGAGGAATAGCTGAACAAACCAAAGACAAGTGCAATCTCACACGACATCTTAAGTTCAAATGAACTGGGCCTTTTCTACCAGTTTCTGTGTATTCATTAAGTTTAAGAACACTCAAAACGTAAAATTTTTAAATTAGCAGCTTATTCCCTAGCTGTAGAGAGAAGAAAGAGAGAATAGTGAAGCATATGAGGAAGAAAATGATAAATGGCAATTATTTTTTTTTCTTTAAACATATGAAGCTCTTAATATACATACCCTGAATTTCTCTAATGTGGTTACAACAGCTACTACAAAAGTTCAGTCTTAGAAGATAATCAATAAAATCTGTTAACCACACATAAGGACACCCAAACCTAAGAATGGTTACTAGATGAATCAGAAATAGAAAATGGCTCCAAAATAAATGAATCTTAGCATTTAAATTATAGAGAAAAAAAAAAAAAAAACACAACTACAAATCACTTCAGAGAAAGGCTGCCTTCAGCTCTACGTGAAAATCTTTTCCAGGTACCTGTGGATATTTCAAGCTCTAGAGTATAATTATGTGAAATAAGCCCATGGTTCCTAACAAAAGTCTGGAAATCATCATCACGGGGAGTGGGGCCACCAGACTGGACACCAGAGTCTGCGCCTCCACCTAGTTCTGTGTGCTCAGCCTTCTCCTCTAATTCTTTTTCAGTTCTAACACACTGAGAAGCAGGAAGAATGTCCTTGCTGCAGCATGGCTGTTCATCATCCACGCATCCAAAATAGGACTGGTTAACTTCCATCTGGGAGGAGAAGGGAGGTGTAGGTCTATCCTCATAGGCAGGCATTTGTCCATGGGGTTCCAGTTCTGGGGCGTTCACAGTGAAGTCGAAAGGATCTGGCATCAGAAGGTTGAAACAGTTTTCCATCTCTGTCAGGGTGTCAGCAATCTCTTGGGACATTTCTATCAAGAGACGGTCGTTTCAGAATCTTGTTAAACCATGTAAAATGCTAATGTCTCTACAGCACATCTACAAACCAAATAAAACTGCCAAAGGGCTAATCCACTTATTCAGGAACCAGTGCTAATTTAGCCATACAGCTGTCTCTCTGCTGAAAAAACTGTCCTTATAAAAGGGACAGTACTTTTCTTAGAGAAGGAAATCTAGAACTTCCTAAGTAAGGAACTTAGAATCAGTGTTCTTCCTTTCCCTATCCTCTCTAAAATTTTATTATGCAGAGATGACACAAGTACTTCAGAGAATTTGAAGGAGAACAAGGTTCAGTAAGGACATTCATGGCAGGTATTCATTCTACAGCCAAGAATATTATAGTTGCTTGTAGGTGTAGCCATGATTGTATGCTATTGCTCAAGAAGATGCTATCAATAGAGGTGACTTTAAGAAGGTTAAATCTCTTTAAAATTCCACCCTCATACATGAAAATATTTCCAGGATGCAGAACAAATGCAGACACAGTTAGATGCATTGCCTATACCAAAGTAATTTAATTAAATAACCCCTTTTAACTGCAACATAATACACTTACTATCTCTGTTGTTTCATATCACAGAAACGTTTGCTGTGTGCACCCTGCCTAGAGGTCCAGCCTGCAGTTAGTCCATTTTTTAGCTGCTGTATGATACTTTTCATAGATAGCCTACACTGCAGCCAGGATTCCTGTGCAGACCGTCACCTATACTTTTGGGACATGACTGTACATACAATATAGTTAAAGTCATCAGCCAACATGCTCTTGAAAAGTCTAAGCCTAGTCAATGACACAAAAATTAAGTCACTACCTCCAAAAGGTTTCATGATATGCTTGCTTGAGGTTATGTATTCATACTTTACTGAATTACAGCCAGACCCTTCCTTGTTAACATTTTTGTCTTTAAAAAAATCTCTTCCTTCTACCTGAGCTCACAGGACTTTCACTTGCTTCTTCCGATATTCTTTAGGTGAGAGAAACAGAGGGCAGGAATACTGCATTTGTTAGAGCCTGACCCTCTGTAGTCAGCTATTATTTGGATAGCTATTCTCTTAGAATTGGTTTTATGCAACCTTAAAAAAGGTTGCTTTAAAAATGAACCAAAAAAAATCCCAGAACAACCGAAGTGACGCAACTCACCTTCCATTTCTTTTTCAGCTCTTTTGGCTTTTTCTTTGTAAATGTTATCCAACCTTTTTTGCTTCTCTTCTTCCCTCCTCCTCTCAGCCACAGTTCTGGCATGCACATCTTGAAAATCCACCTAAGGAGGAAACGAAGAAAAAAAGTGTAACATTCCTTGTAAGAAATATATAGAAAATCCATTTCCTAAGATCTTAATCTGTGGTGAAAAATCCTCTAACACCAGCGATCAGCCAGAAGCTCAGCAGTACTTCTTTTTATCTCTCCTCCTCCTCAAATCAATAACTACAATAATTCTGAATGGAATTTTTTCTTCTACTAATAAGGGACTGTGGAGAATCAATGGCTTTCAGAAAGGAATCATAAGGTAGAAAAACAAAATGCTTTAGATTTCCACATCTAAACTGCAGGAATAAACTAGGCTTTGGGAGACCTCTGTCACAGCATTGGAGACATCAGGTTAGGGGGAATGGGCAGGAAAAGAGCACAGAGGGTAAGTATTTAAATTACATTAAAACATCTCACTAGGTCCACTATTGGCAAAGGAAATTTAGGAAAATTTGTAAGCACTATTACCACTAGTATACATATCACTTTCTGAAGAACTTTGTGAGCAAGGAAAGTTGCAGACACTCAAATTCATTTAAAAAGACCAAGTACTGGATTTTACAATTACATTTATCAGATTTGGGGATTGAGGGAAAGGTTATCACCCAGTCTCACTTTGCTTTCCTACAACTATAACAGAAAGATAAATTTGAGTGATTCAAAACTTTTTTCAAATAATTGCAATGGTTTTTAGTTTACTCTTAGGTGAGCTGGAAGATGTAAATACTTTTCACTTCTACTTTAAGGAAAGGAGTCTTGCTTGTGTTATTGTATAAGGAAATCCCTTCACGAAAAAATGGTACTCCTTTTTTGACTGCCACCACATAACTTTTCATTAACTCCAATACAGACCACAGGGAGGGCTGAGCAAGCCCAGAGTTTGCTGTTAATAAAGCCTGCAGACTCCCTGGTGCTACATCCATATTACAAGCACCCACTGATCGTTTGTCATGATTGCCACTGCTCGGTGATAAAGCTTGTCAGTGTCCAGCAACGGTTCCCAGACACCAAAATAATGAGCCATGAGTAAAACAGGGAAGTTGAATCTCACTTATGAGGTACAGTTCCAAACTACTGAGCTCACCCTACATGAGGCTCACCAAGGCATGGCTCAAGCAAACCAAGCACAACCTAAAACTGAACTTGGATTAATTTTGCACAGTCAAGAACGTCACACTTTCTGTCTAGTCCCAGGAGATCTCTGCTGTAACATGCACATGGATGTACTAGCCATGCATGGCTCAAGCAAACCAAGCACAACCTAAAACTGAACTTGGATTAATTTTGCACAGTCAAGAACTGTGTCGGTGTCTCAGCTCAAACTTACTGAAACACTTGAATATTTGCTCAGCATTAAGCAAGTTGGTAACTCCATTAAACACTATGGGTATCAAAAAACCAAATGCTTCAGCTTGATCTTAACCTTGTATTAAAGTGTCTTGATACATAAATGTTCCTACTGCTGAATAATCCCTACAGTGTGCAATAAGTATTAAAGTTTTACAATTATTTTTTATGTAAATATATAGCAAACAAATTGGTTGTTTATAAAAGCCTCTAGGAGGAAAAGAATGTTTCAGCTTTCACAAACTAGCACGGAGAGTCTCCATCAGTTTAGGAAGAAAGACACACTTACCAATCTGGTTGTTTTACTGTGGAATAGGTGGGCAGAGGAAAGGTAGGGAAAAAAAGTTAGTTTCATTAACCTACAGCAGCACTTGAATGATCATTGTGAGGTTTTTTTTTTGGTTTTGGGGATCTGATTTTTCTACCAACTTTGCATAGCTCTCCACGTGCTAGCAGGAGAAACAGATCCTCCCAAAGAGCAACATCACCCATGAAAATGGAACAAAGACACAAACCCCAAGAACTACAGCTACTGTTTCCAGGCAGTCAGATTGGACCTGCACAGAAAATGAGGAATAGCCTGTTCCCTAAATCACAGCCTCTGCTACAAACAACACCAACAGTAAGGTCACCTGCCTGTTCTTCCCCCACCTCTGTCCAAAAGGATCAGCCACGTGCTGCTCTGCTGCATTGTTTTGTGCTTTGGCACTTGTCCAGATGCCCCTCTTACAACACCTACCAAATGGCTGTGGTCCGACATGGACAGTGAGAGCACACCTCACACCTGGGGAGAGGTGCCCAGTACAGGTCAACAGCATACACAAGGTCACACTGGGCTCTCACGGAAGCCTCACAGCGTCAGAGTAACTGAGCTACAGACGTGCACATGCACTCACTTGCTACCTGGGCACAGCACCACCTCACAAACTTGGTCAGAACCCATCCACCCTCATGCAGGTGACATGGACTGAGACCAGAGCTGCTGTTCTGCCTCTGTGCTGGTGCAGGCTACACGAAGCCTTCCAGCATTGGTGCAATTATGGACCTGGACGTGATGAGGTGCAAACTGTCCTTGGTGTAAAGGGTGTTGAGCAGTGGGCCTAGACAACTATTGCAACTTTTTGGAAAATATTCAAGTACAGCAGTAAGATACTCCATACTGAGCTGCTCAAAATCCTGTGCACTCCATAACTGCAGCTCACTCTCTAATCCCAGCCATGCACCCCTCAAATGCAAAGATAACATAATATGACTCAGTTGCCTGCAAACATTTGTAATAGTTGAATTTTTTGTTTTCTTTCCTTTCTTTTTTTAAACTTTAAGAAAGGAATTTGAAAACAATTGGGTTTAGATATACTGAAATATTATTAACTCCTGAAGATAAACATTTATATAGGTATCTACTTGGTACCTACTGTATGGATCTACTAACGTTAGAACAGCAGGTAGCTTTCCAGGTTTCCACCCTAAAAGGGCAGCAGTTGTCATCTTTGGACCAACTGTTTATAAGGTGATTTTGGTGATAATTAAAAAAAAAAAAAACAACACACACACCCCAAAAAAAAAAACAAAAGAGCAACCAAAAACCACCCAGAGCTAACACTCTCTCACACTGCCTTATATTACTGTGCCAAAACAGTAACACAGAACAGCAGATGTACCTTACTACTACACATGTACAAAGGTCTCCTCAAAATCTTTTGTTTGCTTCTAACACTCCAAGTATAAAGCTGGTAAGAGGCCACTTAGCTCAGCAGGCTCATCCCAGCTCTTTTAAGTACAAGAATTATCAAAGTAGGTAAGATTGCATCTCTTGGTACTAATGCTTCTAGAAGTACTCAGATTCAGCTGCTCTAGAAAACAGCACAGGCAAGCATGCTGGGCAGCTCAGTAACACAAAGGTATGAAAACTCATCACCCAGTTGTAACTGGGGAGCAGTCACTACCCACAGTAACAGAGGCAACCTCAGACATGTCAAACTTCAGCAGAGTACTTTTACACTTGCATGTTCAATATGGTAAAACTGTGTCGTGTGTTAAAGCTGCCCTGTCTCAGTCTTGCATTTCTCCTTGTCACTTTCCTTGACTTTTCTTTCTTTATTAAACAAGATAATAAAGGATAATTCAAAAACAACCACCTTTTATGAGCAGATACCAAAAATGGTATAGAAAAAAAAATAGCACAATAAATAATACAAGTAGGGTACACTATTAGCTTAGTATGGAAGCAGAACAACAGAAATACATTGTGTACCCCAAAGAGGTTTGATCTGCTGTTAGGAACACTAAACTGAGAGGTGTTTTTGAAAATAAAGATAATCAATGTTTATTGAAAGCATGATGTTATAATGGCAGATAGTGTAAATACCAGAATACTGTTCCCAATTTCATTGTTTGCACCTCAGAAGAGATGCTAAAGTAGAAGAAATGTTCCAAACATAACAGCTTGAAGCCTAGAAGGGAGATCTAAAAGCAAGTGTTCACATGCAAGGAATGTCTCTCTGATAAAGCTCCTTGTATGACACACTAATGCAGCTGAGGGCAGCAGCTCAACAAGATGCCTCCTAAAGACAATGTCATTTCCAGCAGTTTTTCTTCTATATTTATTGCTTCCCTCATGTTAAATACTTCCTAGTGATCGTCACCTAAAAACACATGAAAAAGTAAAAATACAGAGTACCTTCTTATTCTGCTTCAAGAAGTGGTATCCCAGAGAAAGCTTCTTGTAGGCCTCTCCGTACTTCTCATGCCAGTCCTGCACCGACTTAATAGCTTCTTTCCTCAGCTTCTGTGCCACCTCTTTGGGCGGGGGAAGAGGCTGCTCATGGTCTATCCCCACCGTCAGCTCCAGGAACTCCTGGAAGTTGGAAATGACCAGCGTGCGGAACTGATGGGAGCGGGTGAACAGCTCCTGCACGATCTGGAGAGCCGAGAAGCGCATCTCGGCGTGCTCCTCGCTGAGCCGCGTCATCAGCAGGTGATAGGCATGGCTGATGTGGTCCTCTGAAGACCTGAGGAAGGAAAACCAGGAAAATAAAGGAGGGGGAGCTATTAAAAATGAGCTGTAGCACATAAAATCATCATTTTAAAAATACGTATTTTAAATGTTAGGCCAGCAGGTCGTGTGCTGGCAGCAAGCTGCAGCCAGCTCCCAGAACAGGCCCCAGGACGGGACCGGGGGGCAGGCTCCGCGTCGCTGCGGGGGGAGGCAGCGGGGGGAGGCAG